ATTAATAAAATTACTGTTCTACATTGTTTAATATGCTGGCTTGACTTAAATATCATTGATAATCTATCAAGTATGGTATAAAGTAAGATGAGGTACACCAGACCCAACAATGCAGAGACATTAAAAGCTGACATAGAAGCAACTTAGGCATTTTTAACACAGTACACCACCATCACTTGGTTATCAATGCAGTAATTTGTGCATTGGGAATGAGCAAATATACCAAACAGTACATGGACATACTTTTAGATAAGGCAAAGTCAGTGTAAAAAATTATTTTTATTTGTCTAATGCAATTTACATATTTTTGGATGATCAAATAAGCCATATTAATAAAGAAATAAAGAAAGTAATATATGGAACAAAATAAATTAATGTGTAACTATAGAAATTGTTATAAAAACAAACTAACTCTACAATACCATAAATGTAGCATAAAATAGTTGTTCTGATATTGAGACAAAAAAGACATACAATAGTCAAAGTGTCCAAAAAAAGCTTTCCAGGAAAAAGAATCTTCTAATTCTATGTTAGCTGGCTGATTGTTTTTTTTTTTTTTTTTTTATCTTCAGTTAAATTAGTCAAATGAGGGAACAGGCTGATTTAATTATGGGCTCTGCTCTTTCCTTTAATTATGCATGCAAATCTATGATTATCTACCACAGTGCAAATATTAGCCAAATTAATCTGGAATTTTTGTTGAACATCTGATTCTCTCTTTATGTAGTCAATATTGAGTGAAAAATAAAAACATTTTAAGAGGCCAAATTTTTAATATGATAAAACAGAGACAGATAAAGAGTTGGTAATTGGAGACAACAAAGAAAACAATAATGGCTAATTTCAAGACGAGGAAGACCAAATGTCAAAGCATTCAACAGCATCTCTCTCATTTTACTGTCAAAAGATAATTAATCTAAAAGTCGAGGTCTCGCGTTGTTTAGGAACAAACCTTTCAAATGATTAACTGCATACATTTTCTTGGGAAGTCTATGTCTACACTGTTCAGAATAGTGACAAACTGTGTCTCATCCTATTAAATACAGAAAGGTAATTCCTTAACCCCTGGTGAATAATTTCAACCCTTGGAATCCAGAAACAAAGACATAAACCAACACAATGTGGCAGGATTTCTGAAAGGTGCCCAGCAGACCCCCTTCCAGGATGCTTGAAAGGCCACTCATTGGGAGACACTTTTGTGAATCTAAACTCTGACTAAATAAATCCATCATGGATAAAATACACAGACTGATGGATGTTCCCCATTTCCCAGATAGCTTAATGCTGTCTACCAGCTCCGAACAATACCCTTTATCTAGCCCTATTAAAATGCTGCTCACTATGCTGACAAAAGCTTCCCAAACAATACAGCAGGCCCCTTAAATTTACTTTACAATTAACCATGCACTGCTAAGAGATACAGATAACTCAAAAACACCACAGGGTTTTGGTATTTCGTCAAAATGAAATATTAAAAAGGGATGATTTACCCATATTACCCAAAGTAGAAAAGGAAAACCTGTATCCCAACTGCAAAAATAACCTCTCAGTATTTCTAACATGCTAATAACTTTAAATACTTTATCTGCTATTTTGATTTCAAAAATATACATTTAAGCAAAACTGAATAAAAATCAAAATCTTGACAGGAATTTCCAAATGTGCAGAATATTTTTTTTTTTCCATGACCTGCCTTAGATAGAGTAACATGACTGATATTAGCTTGTTTATAAGTATGGCTACCTGCTTGGAGGAGGGTGTGTATTAGTATTATTATTATTTTTTTCAATGGCATTTACAATTCAAGGTGCATATAGTGGATATATTGGGATTTTTATTTCTAAAACATGTATAGATACATTAATTTCCTTTTTTTTAGATTACATCACCATGACATGATTGCAAAGTACTCAGCATTCCTAATTCAATTCAATGCACAACACATCATCTCAAGGCACTTTACAGTTCACCAGATCATACAGTCAGATTGATTCATAGTTTTCTATCTAAGGAAAACCAGTTGATTGCATCGACTCGGATTCAATCCCTCACATTACGCATGCTTGTAGCGACAGTGGAGAGGAAAAACTCCCTTTTAACAGGAATAAACCTCCAGCAGAACCAGGCTCAGTGTGAGTGGCCATCTGCCAAGGCCGACTGGGGTTCAAGGAGACAGAAGCAGAGAAACAAAAAGCAGCTGTAAACTGGCACGGCTTCATATTAAGTTAGCGTGTGATTTTTGGTTCCAATTGAGCGGCTCAACAACAGACTGCTTCACTTCCTGAGCTTCCTTGTTAGAAGTATCAGTGTTGGGTTACATTTTGTGGGGTTTTTCCCGGATCTAAAAAGTTTCGTCTGTTCAAAAATGGAGAGAAACAATGGTTCCTTAAAAGTATTTCCTCCATCACAAGCTCAAGGAAAACAACCGTCTAGTTAAAAGATAACTTCCACTTTCTGCTCATTTTATGTATGCAAGCATGTCATTACTAAAACATATCAATAAAATAAAATGAATAAAAACAAATTTTTGTTCCTTATAAAATCAAAAGGAGCTATTCTTAATACCAGGTTATTAGATGATTTAGAGTTTAATCTGGGTGTCTGCAGTCACAAATATAGCACATAATTCACATAATTGAATGAAGACACATTTGATTTAATTTTTAAATCAACATTTTTTTTATAGTAGTTGCCAACAATTAAAATGACAACACAATGTCTTAATAGCCAGTAATAAAGTGAGCAGCTCCAAATGTTTGGTGAAAATGTCTTTATCATGGTTACTTTTATCTAATGTGATATACTGTATTTTCTAGAGCTGTTTTCTGTATATTTTTGCTCCCCAGTAGTTTTTAGGGGCGAGCTGAATACAGTACGGATACTGTACGGATACTTTATTCCTTCTAATCCTAATCACCGGATATGTTTTACTGTAATCTACAGTACATAGATGTCAGGCAATATACTTATTAGAGAAAACTTTGAAAATATTAAAACAGGCCAGTTTATATGGCATTCTATGGAAAAGACTAGCCTAGTTTGAGAAATGATAAAATTATGCAAATCGTGAGCAATTTTTAATGCAGATGTTAATATTGAAGATAACATCTAATGTTACAGCTATTCAATTTATGGTCCATCTCAGCATGGAGCAGTTAGAGAAACACATATTACATGTTTTAGAGTAAAACATGTAATGATGTATGATTAAACTAGGAAAAAGCATTTTAGAGTGTATTAAACGATATCCATTAAACTAATTTGTTCATAACAAAGGTTAATTTAATTTCACAATAAAAGATACCAAATTGTATCATTAAGATAAAAATCAGCTGAAGATGTAACTCCAGTAAATCTTTGTTCGCATTCATTATGAGTGAATTCTAACAAAACTGTAAAGTAAAAAGTCGGGTGTATAATAGATGAATATGTGAAAAGATAAGATCTCTGGGAAGACTTTTATTTTGAGAAAAGCTTCTTAGTAGCAGCAATGGTTTGGTTTATGTACAGCTTTAACATGTTTAGAGACAATGCTAAAGCCAAACTTGCAAGAGTAAGGGAGTTTTTTCACCCTCAAGCAGTCGTTGCCAAAGAAAGGCGCATCTTAGCTGTGATCATCAGGAAAAAGAAGGCTTACATTAGAGATGTATGGCTTGGGGTTTTTCTAGCCAAGATCGATTTTCAGTTTTTTTTAGGGTATAAGCTGTTTAAAGTCCATATACGAGCTGTCAATCGCAGCAAAATCGGCAAATTCTGATCACTGCATCATTAGTTTATACCAGCTTGTAAAAAAAAAAAAACAAACTTGAAACTTCAATATTAAGATGATGTTCAAAAATTTTTCCCTCTTCATTAATATACTTACTGCATCTTTGGCATCTACATAGTTAGTTACTTTAACACAATTGTTCCATGTCAGAGGGTAAGACTTGAAACAGTTTTGTTAAAGTTACTAAATATGCTTACTTATATGCAAAAGATGAATGTAGTATCATGTTCACTATGATCTAGAAAAAAATTATGGGATAAAAGACATCAAAATTCTAATATTTGGCTCAATATATTATCAGAAAGCAGATTTTGAATACATGGACCCCAATTAAATACAGTCTACCAGATTTAGTAGCACGCAGCTGAGTTCCATTGTGTTTGCACACACAATGAAAGAGTACTTGTGATAGAGCTAATATATACTGGGCGACCTTTAAGGGGCATTTAAAAAGTCTATTACTAGATTAGCAATATTTTATGCTGTAAAAACAAGTTAAGTCCTGTTTTTTGTATTTTTTTTTTGTAGCTAAATCAGCATAGCAGATAAAACAATAAAAATTTGGTTTTAGCAGTGAAACTTACAAGATCTTTCATCAGAAATATAACAAAACAATATCTTAATTTAATACATATGCATTTAATTATTTAAATTTTACAGTTAACTTTAGTAGTGCAAGTCCTATTTATATATATTTTTAAAAACACAAAAAGTAACCCAGTTAAGCTACTGCTCAATATGACATCTAATGAGTGGGAGGAAAAGCTGGGAAATCAATATCTTTTAAAAACTTTTTTTTTTTAATGATACAATGATTTATACAATAAGTTGTTGAATTATTGAAAATAAGAGCACTGTAGTTGGAATAATGGCTGGAATCTGAATACATGCTCCAGAAAAATGTTTCAGACAACTCCAGACATTTGTGCTGTTTAATGCGCCTCTGCTGCCATGTCCAAATAAGCTGGTTATCTGACATGTTCTGTTCAAAGGTCCTCTTTTATTTCTCCCTTTATCGTGTCGGAACACATATTCATTAGTGGCTTTTGGTACAGCTGTCATAAATTCACCTGCTTCAGTGACAGCAGACAGCCACCTTCTTTTGTCAAAACACTTGAGTCTCAGGGTTAAGAGCGCTTGAGAGAGGCTGAACACCTTTAACTGAGTAGATTTAAGCAGCCTGTTCAGGATTTGGTGTCATTAACCCCGAAGCGCGTCAGTGGCTCTTTACCTTCATTTGCTGGGACGCACCAGGCTCCCATCAGTGCCAGACTCCAAGTCAGCGTCCATGCCACCGGCCGAATGCCACAACTCCTCCAACGAGATTGCATGGCGCATCCAAAAGAAAAAAAATGTATAAATGAAATGAAAAGCGATGCAGGTTATCCCTGAAAAGCTGCAGCTTCAATCAAGATCAGAGAGGAAACGGTGAGAAAAGCATCGGTAGTGTTCAACCTCCGCTTGAGGAGGTTCGGGATCATGTTCTGCTGAGACCAGAGGAAGGTAATGAGGAGCGCAGTGAGCTCTGGTTTGGGGAAGGCGGGCAGCGCGCCGGGGGGCGGAGTAAAAGCACGAGGTCTCTCCAATCACAGACCACCCACAGGTGAAACCTTGCTCTGTGCGTAATTCATGGGACTGCTGTCCAAATGACCGTCGATTTCCAGAGGCGTAGCCAGACATTTTTTTTATAAGGGTGGCCAGGTAATAACCAATGCAGACTGAGGGATGGCCGAAGGCAGATCGGCACCAGAACCTCAGGGTCAATCTACTCTACACTGTTCCAACAGGAAAATTATGAGCAAACATCCATATTTTGTAAATAAAGACAAACTATGCATTCCTACAGCCTTTGCTAACAAATAGAAGCATATTAGATTAGATTAAACTTTATTGTCATTACACAGGTACAGGTAAAAGGCAACGAAATGCAGTTTAGGTCTAACCAGAAGTGCAATAGCAGCAAAAGCAGGATACATAATGGTTCCATAAATACAGGAAATGGGTTTCTACTGAATAAATATAGAGGTGAATACCATTACAAGCAGAATCTTACTAATAGATGAATATAATATATAGATAACCAGTGTTATGAACTAAATTTACAGCTGGATATGTACCGAATATAATATACAGGTGGATATTACTATAAAAAGGGTTTTTACAGTTATGTACAATAGCATATATACAGATGGATTTTACTATAAAATGAATAAATAAAGTTTGGACAGAAGCTATCTAAATTAAAGTGCAGTGGAAGGTATTTGCATATTACAGTATACATATACAGTATATATATTTTAACATCTGTAATTTCTAGATAAAAGGTATAGTGGATAAAACTCAGCTTTGAGTTCTGGGGGACAAATCTTTTCCATTGTCATCACTTACCTACTTGTATCAATAAACATTAAGCATAAAATTGATATTTACAAGCGCTAATATCTACATACATTGATTATTTAATTAGTTTTTATTAAGATTGTTATTTATATTTGATTTCACTGAAAAATCCTTGCTGAGACACATATTTTTCTCTTTACCCTATATAAAACAAAATTTAAAAAAGAGCATGAATTCCGTACTTATCATCTTTGATGTTAGTATATTGATGTGTATAATTAACCATAAAAAATGAAATGTATTGAATATTCCACTTGAGAATATTACTGCTGCCATCATCTGTATTGGGGGGGGTGGCCTACCTTATATCCCAAGTACAATTTATTGTATATAGTGTTTTTAATCCCTAAGAGAAAATGCTCTGTGAACTAAATGAGTCTTATTATACATTTTTTAACGACAGGATATCACAAATGCTTCTAAACAGACAAAATGGAGAAAAGTACACAGTAAAGAATGTTAATACAACATAATCATAAATGTATATCATACAGTAAAGCTAAAGCCTAACTGAAAGTTTATTGAAATCTAATTTCTTTTTAATGATGTTTCAAGGGGAGTGCCTCATCAAAAAGGACACCTACAGTACCGGTACATTCCTAAGCTACCCTTCTCTGAGAGTGAGTGTTAAATCACTTGTAGTATTTTGATTTAAGACATGGGACTGTCCAGTCCAAACATCAAGGTCTCTGTTTTGTCTTAGTTTTTTCTTCTGAATTTAGCTATACTGTAAGTAGTGATTTTTCAACCATTGCTTAGTGTTTGTTAAGCAGCTGAAGGCCTTGAAGGAATGCTAGAGAACATCAGGGAACACACACATTGAAGAAGTCCAAGCTGTGGAGTACTTTAAAACAGGTAGAGGTTGAAAAAGAATACCCAAGGTTTTGAGCATCTCGAAAGCAGTATTCTGTTAATCAACTGAAAGGAAAAGAATATTGCATGATTGCAAACTTATGAAATATGGACATCCATAACAGGTGAGGAGAACAGTGACACAGCAAAGGTGGCATTGCAACTATGGAGGAGCTGCAGAGATATACTGCTCAGGCAGGAGAACAAGTCTATCATAACTGTAAGTGGCACAGTCTGAGTCTACATGCGCCCAGGATGAATAAGAGAGGTCCAGCTTTTAGTCTCCCTCTCAACATATAAGGAACATTTTAATCATATCCCAAGCTGCCATTCAACATTTATGAGATTCCAAAAATAAGAAAACTGTTGCAGCAGTATCTTGCTTTGGTAATGTCCAGCAGGGACAAGATAGCTAGTCCAATGATGGGTATATAGATCTATAAAAGACTTAAATAAGAGGATGCTAATAAATCTTGACCAACAGAAGTTAAATTAAAAAGGATTTTTACAATGGTTTAAGGTGGCAGTCAATTAGACAGAGCTTGTCCTATTATATTTTGTCCTTGGGTCTAACGTTGCTCTGCTGTGGCATTAGCTTTCTAATACTGTACCTCATCCAAAATAGTTATCCTCAGCTATTTTCTGTATTTGTGCTGCTATATGTTTGGACTGCTGGATCACATAGGGACCACTTTCCCTCATTTTATCTCTATTTTCCCACTGCAGTATTTGTCAAGTTCCACTTATAACAGACATGGGCAATGTGGAGTCAACAAGTCATCTCCATGTCATCTCCATGTCATGTATTGGTTCTACCCAGCCACTGAAGCAGGTGAGTCCAATCTTCACCGTGAATTAACCTGTGCAGATTGGACTCACCTGGTTAATTGGCTGGGTAGAACAAATACATGACATGGAGATGAGTTGTTGACTCCACATTGCCCATGTCTGACTTATAACTTTGTTCTCTCTGTTTTTTCTCATCACAGTACCTTCATCTGGTCTGTCCCTGTTCAGCTGTCACTCCATCCTGGATTGAAATATCAGCTGTAGTGCTGCCATCTCTTTTTATAGATATTGGAGCTTGGCCTGTTTGCTGTGTAGTCTTGTTTCTTTTACTGTGACTTACAGAATTAGCTTGGAGCTCATCTGCCTGTCTTTACTGGACAGGGAGTTGGTTGACAGTTAACTTCTGTATATCTGATTTATTTTATGTCTGCTTCTTTCTCCTTGAAACACAGCTGGATTTGGCAGATGGCCACTGACGCTAAGCCTAGTTCTGATGGAGGTTTCTTCTTGTTAAAAGGGAGTTTTCCTCTCCACTGTCGCTAAATGCATGCCTGGTGTGAGGCACTGCCCAAGAGTCATCAACAAAATGCAAGGAAAGGTCTTTGCAGCAGGCTCATCCAGGAGGAGCATGTCTTGCAAGTCAATGACTGGATAAAATCAACTAGATATCCTAACCCATCTGACAGTATTGTCTCTGTAAGTGCCTAGAGATTATATGTATTGAGAATTGTGCTAAATAAATAAACTGAAGTGAATTGAATTCTCTGTTAACCCTCACATTTAAGATTAAAATTTAGTTTTTAAATTTGTGGCGACCACATTGATTTCTGCTTTCTTGTTAAATACATTCATCTTTCTGTATATTAATTTTACATATATTGAATAGGATTAAACTTCAACAGCTTAAATATATAGTATATCCAACTGTTGTCATTTTTAATCATTTAGAGTCACTGTCTGCTGTTATTGTGTTTCATATTTCCAAGTATAATTGGAGTTTTTCATAATTATTTGGTTCTGTTCTTGGAGCTTATGCTACCAACACCTTCCACGCTCCTTGAATATTTATAGACATGCAGAATTTCATATTCACACATAGATGTATTGATTGATTTGTACAATGCTAATATATATTAAGAGGCCTGTTTCTCTGACATCCTGTTTTCAGTCAACTATTTTAGTCCAAAATGGATGTCCAAATCACCCCTTATTTCACCCAAAGTTCTTGCATCCTCACATGCAGAATGGTCTCATTTGTCAACATGTAATCAGAGTTATGTGCCAAGCATAACCATAGCTGTAGGTGTAATACATGGGAGGTGGTACATTGTAGATTTATAAGGGTCTGATCAGCATTAACAGCGGGTGTGGAGGTGGTTCCGATTTGCCAAGAAGGGTTGTTTCCATGAGGTGTTTGTTTAATTCTATAAAAGGTTTGCAGAATGAAGTGTAAGAAAAATACGCCTCCAAAGAACTGTTAAAATCAGATTTCAATGACACATTTTCTGGTATTGTTATGTTGGGAATTAATTTTTATGTTCTTTATACTGTAGGTGTTGGTAATTGACAAAATGAAGTGAGATTTATTTAAAATACAATTAGATTGACAATAATGAGGTATGAATTTATTAGGTCCTTATGAGTTCAAGAGAAGGCAGGAAATTAGCACTGCCAAAAAATGTCGGATATTAAAACACAATCTTGGTAAACTAATTAGCAGCACACAATATTATATAGACAAAGTCAATATCCTGACTGGGTCATGTAGAGTCATATGAACTGATTTGATCAAGTAAAATAATTTGACTTGTTTATTCTGAAGAAAAAAAAATGTGGAGCCAATATTAATTCTAGAAATATTTTATTATTTTAAAATATTTCTGTAATATGAACAAAACTGCACCATCTTTTTTATCAACACACCCTTCATATATTTGCACATTAATGTAGGCCGTTATTAGAAGTTTTTCTTTTATGCAGTTGTTTTCAGCAAAGCACAAAAATATTTTTATTATCAGTTTTTGTCAGATATGCTATTGTATTAAAAAACTGACATTGATATATTATGTACAGAATCGGAATTAGAATCAGGCATACTTTAATAATCTTAGAGGGAAATTACTTACTTTTATTATGTACATTGGTTTTACAGGTATTCCTTTTACTATATGACCTATGAATGACATCACTCTCTTTCCAATACTTCTTGCATTTCTCTTACAAGGAGATTTATTTGAGGTTTTGAGGTTTTATTTTCAGAATACCTGCAGTTATTCAATATCAAGCCAGATGTGAGGAAAAACGTAGCTGTCCTGAGCTGTAGATATCTGTAGCCCCATCATAGTTACTTAGACTTCTTCAAATAATGTTCATCTTTGCTTAGAATGCTGGTTTAAATAGTTTTCTATGAAAAGAATATTGCCATTTCTTTCTTTCTTAAAAAAAATAAATAAATAAAGTTATTCTCCAAAAACCAACA